TTCTATGGCAGTGTTTGTCATTGAAAGATGCACCAGAGAAGTACATTAACCTTATACAAGCTCTACTTGGACGCCACTGGTCGATATGCTTTTAGAGATGAGACTTTCTTCATCTAACTTTTCAGGACTTGAGCTTTTACCAGGAGATTCATTGGTTGACTTAAATATGCCGATAGCGTAGTTCTGTTAGGTGAAGACACTGATAAAATGCAGTAAGAGTAGAGGATATTCGTAGGTTACTGGTTTTTGATCATCAGTGTCTCAGAAGTATTGCTTGTATTTCGTGGGACAACCGAGTACGCAATGCTGTCGTTTTAAACTGGTACTAGATAAGGTTGGCAAATCAATAGATGATGTAGTGAATGTCCAGTCGAAGTGGTTGGGACATATGGTACGTTTTCCTTGTCACCGACTGCCTAGACGAGTGATGTTATTTGATATAGGGGTAAACTGTAAGAAAACTAGGCGTAGCTGTAAGCTGCAAACAAATACACGGTCGTACTAGAGCACGATCTGAGTCTAAACATGTGCCTTAGAAATAGCGTCATTCTTCTATCGAGCCTCCATTGGTGGCTGATTGCAATGTTATCTAGTTGGGTTCAACGTTTAGACAAATTTGGGGGTCGCCATGTGAAAATTTGTACATCCTTGTACTTAAAGTTAGTATTTACTAGAAATAAGAGGTCATCTGAACATAGCTTCAGCAGAAGGTCGCTATTATCTGTCCTTTGAGCCGCGACAACATACGATCCACCCAGGTGTCTTTCCTTTTCACTTAGTCTACCTACTTGGGCATTTAAGTTACCGGCCCCTTTTACTATATCAGACAGCATAACTCTTTGGAGGAGGTCCGGAAGCTTCCTGTCAAGCTAATCTTTTACCTCCTCTTAACTGCAGTCAGTCGGGGTGTAGGCAGATACGACGAGGAGGCTACGGCGAGTGTCCCTATCCATCCTAGTCCTTACTGTTCCGTTTAGTCGGACAGCATACCAGCGACTTTCAACTGAGATCCAGTCTAAGAGAGCTAATTCTGCGCTAGGACTCTTTGCTATACCTACACCAGTGAGGCCCCGGGAAGCAGCGGCAGGGCTTCCAGATACACGAAGAGTAGATCGAGCTGGTTCCTTATATTGACAATGTGAGGTCAAATGAATGACTCCACTCGGTTCCCGTATGCGCGTTTTGGAGACGCAACATACATCAATGGCGCTAGATTCTAAAGTCCTATCTAAGGAAGCCTGTTGTCCTATTTGACTCAATGTTCGTACATTAAGAGCTCCAACATGTAATTTAGAACGGGGTTTCAAGAGACTAGGGATCACGTTTCGTGTACTCGAATCGTTTTCATTAGCGGGGCAGGATGATAAAGGAATGTGAGAAGGGTGAGTCGTGGCGATAAGACAAGTGTTAGGGGATGTAGTAAGGATTCGATTGTGACCGATTTGGTCTCGTGTGTTGTTACGGGTATGAGGGCGGATGTTACTTCACAGCTGCTCACACTGTGGAAGGGTGTTTCTTGAGGAACTTGAAAAAGAAGTTGGATTAGTGCTGGTCTTAGAGGCGTGAGAGCGTGACGGCAGAGCCCGAAGGACGGAAATCCGTGAGGTAAGGTGAGGTGTGACATTTTTAGGGTCAACCTTTTCTAACCCCTTCCTTGTTAGAAGGCAGTATCGCTGCAGATGCTGGTTGTCGGAAGGAAGAACCTTACTGCTGTCACACACCTCTACAGTCAGCATAACGACTTCGCCCTCAGACCTTGAGTAGCTGTTTTTAGTTTCACCATTCTCCAATCAACCTGCCTAGCATGGTAGAACCTAGAGGAACATATGTTCCAGCCATTATAACTCTGTTCGGTCATCACGATAGGCAAGCCCGACCATCACGTCTAGGTAGCAGCTACGGTCGGGCTAAACATGTCACAAATCCATGAAGTCACTGAAAACTGGAGTGAGCCATGTTAGTAGGTGTAGACTACCTGGTTTGGATCTGCAAGCAATGGTAACCAATGGTTAGAGATTGAACGGTATGACTCAAAATCATTTGCAATGGCTCAAATGCATACAGTCTTTGTCTTCTCTCAAATCCTTAGCTTTAGAATTCCCCATAATTTTATTTTCTTTAAATTAATTTAACTGGTCCATGTTTGCTTGATTCTTATTTTCGATCCCTAATCTTTCCGATAACTGCTGATCCTCCTACTACCTCTAGTTCTATAGGATTTGAATTGAAAATCCGATCTCTTTGCCAGTGTGGTATGGCAACTTTAATTGATGTGCGTACGTAGTAAGTCATACTTTGTAGCTGACTGACTGACTGGTTGCTTAATAACTGAAGGGATCGGTTTGATTTGATATCCCTTAATAATTACACTAGTTGAACACTATTATTTTAAGCGATTTATTCCACTGATATCATTTCACATTTTGTTGTAACTAAAACGAAACTGAAATGTTCACTCATTTGTTCCAATCAGTTATTTATATGCAATGGTTCAGCTGCTCGATCTTCAGCCATTAGATGGTGAATTAAAATCAATGAGCTAACGGAACCCCAGTGTGGGATGAATTACTAGTTTTGTAAATGCTTACACCAGACGTGGAGGTCACAGATATATATCATTGGTTACTGAGTTTTATGTTACCTAGGTGGTGTATTTTTAAAACATTTACAAAGTAATTTGTTTTTAATCCCTATTTCTGTATCAATGAGTGTCATGTTCTTACTTCCAACTTTGCAGATGCCTATGCATATTTAGAATGCTCTGCTAAAACAAAAGAAGGTGTTCGTAAAGTTTTTGAAACAGCTACACGTGCCGCTTTATCTACTAAACGTAAAGGAAAGAGAACATGTGAACTTGTTTAAGAAAAAAGGGAAGTTATCTTTTAAATTTTGATTGTTGAGAGATGATAGAATACTACTGGGTTTGTAGAGTTGATTTAATGTACTCTGTGTATCATCTCATTTCTATATATACATACATTCTATACTACTTGTGTCTGTTTTCAACAATTTTACTTCTGATTTATTCCTATTTGTCTGTTCCTTTGTGTGTACTCTTCAGCGTGCTGTTTTCGTGCTAGAGGATTATATGTCTTGTACTTCATGCATTTATGTTTACACAATTTGTTCATTGTTGTGTAATCTCTATCCCTGATCTATGAGTCTATCGTTTCTTTACTTCCTCGTCTTTGTATTCTTTTATAACTGTTATTTGTCATCCCCATTCATTGATATAAGTGAATCGTAAAGTTTTCAAAATGTTTATGGAATTATGAAATTATAATTCATTATAAGTAGTTGTTTTGATCAAGTAAATTTACGAAGTGTTTTTGTGCAATAAAAGAAGAATATGCATTCTTTTTGGTTAGTCGATTTCAGATTGGTGATCGAACTATCTATCCTCCTTATTATTGAATTCTCATTAATTCCCGTAAAGCGGTTTTTTTCAAAAAAAGATTTTTGTTTCGTTGCCCAATATTATAGTCTTCCATTTTTCTGTTTGTTTGGTTAAATGTTATATTCTCGGCATTGAACAGTTAGCTATTGTTTCGATTGTGACTGTTTGGATGGAACAACTACACTTGTTTATCTGTTCGTTTTATTTTGAAAAGTATATGCTGCATTTTAAAACCTTTCTAAAGAATATACGCATACATATGACTATTTGTTATGTAATGTCATCTATACGATTACATTAATTTGTAAATGCATGTGCTATCCACCGTTGTGCCTCGGCACATTTATTATAGTTTTTTTGTCTTCTATAAATCAACGTTTTAAATTTACATAATATAATTGATAAGTATTCTTGAAATAGTTTAGTTATTTTCATAGATAGAATTATAGACTGGTGACAGGTTTTTAGTAGTTTATCCTCTAAATATTCCCTATATTTCGTATACAAATTGTTCGGATAATTGTTATTAGATAATTTTCTAGTAGTTTATACATTTCAGAAGACAGTACTAAGCAATGATTACAGCATAAATCAAACAGCCACAAAACATACATTGTGAGTATGTTTTAGTGAAAGATTGTGAATTTAGAAACATGCGAATGAGTTATCGGGCGTTTCAAGTAACCGACACTTCAACTAGTAAAAGCTGGCCGTCATACATGACAATCATTCATGATCATACAAACGTGGGAATAATAATAACAAGACAGGCAGATTGTTGCCGATATAAATGATTCTGTCCATCAAACGGGATTATTGAGTAGTTTAATGAACTTCTTTTGTCCGCAAATATAGTACTTAGTGGAAATATGAGTTGTATTACTAACCAATCTGGTTATAGAATTCCTAAGTTGGAGTATATAGTGAAGTAAATTGTATCGATCTTCAGTTATAACTATATTAGAAGGCCGTACATTAAGAACCTTGAATTAGACTCAGTCAGAGTTGTAGCTCTTGGTTTATTGAAATAGAACTGATTTTCCGCTCTAAAGTTAGAGGACTTTATTCGTTGAGACGTCTAGGAGACATATTGTTTCCTTCATTATGGATGGGTGGCGAAACAAAGATATGTCAATGAATACAGAGAATTGCCGAATATAACTTAAGTGGCCTCAGTGTAGCTAATAGATGCTTGATCTCAGCTAAAATATTTTCACAGTAAAGTTTGCAAATGCATCTTAACAACTTTTAACAGGGCTTTTTTTAGCGTTTATCTCTGTAAGTGCTACTGATATTCATTACAATACATAATGACTAACTATTACTGGATTCGATTAAATCAGTCAATGAACATATTCGCAATCGAGGTTTGTACTATATTTGGTTGGTTCCTGTTATTATGACCATTAAGCGAAATGAACGAGGATTTATTTGTTGCCACTCCTGATGATATCGAGGAAAAATGTAATGTTATTTAGTGAGTTATGTAGTGTAGCTTTGCTTATCAGGCTCAAAAAATTCAGTTTTAAGAGGTTAAGTTCGAAGTTCTGCTGGGTGTTTAGAGTTCCTAAAATGAATACCTAGAAATCCTAATTTGGTCGAAGTTTTACGACGACGGTCGACAAGTTTACCTTGATGATGATAAAGGTCCAACTGTCTATTACTTTGAATATGTTTAATTGTGAGCCGAAATCCGGTCATAACTACCCAATTCTTAAGTATTAGTTCAATATTGTCAAATAATGAATCTCAGTTTTTAACGACTAGGCCATCTGCTTTTCATCAGGTTAAGTTTTCTCTAGTTTATCGCTCAAAATAGCATTCTATACAGTTGTACTCACAATCTTATCATGACCATTTTAAAATTATGTATTTTAAAATCTATATAATACTAATTTATGGGTGTGACGTGGTATAACATAATTGAACGATGATGACTTTTAGAACGAATGAATTAACGTGCTTATAAAGTTTACTGATATCTTTCGATTAGCTGACAATAAAAATGGCTGAACTATTAGTCACAATCGTATTTTGATGGAGAAAGATAAATCGTTTACTACTCAGTGATTAACTGGTGCTACTGGCGATCACTTGTGTCCGAAAGGGCTCAATGGTGATGTTTGAAACTTTGGAAATTTGTGATGGGTTCGAATCACGCAGAGAGCATAAGTTGCTTCAGGATTACAGTTAGATCTTGCTCAAAGGTAGCAACTGGCAAGTTCATGGTTTTCTGTCAGCTACTTTCAAAATGTTTAAGCAGACATAGTCAGCATTTAGAAAACATATAGCCTGTTAGCAGTTCATAATCGTTAAACATCAGTGGACATCAAATAAATTTAAAACTTTAGATGATGGTTAGGTTCTTATCTGTTATGTCAGATGATTAGGCTATTACCTATCAGAACGTAATTTATGACAGCGGAGATCTTGTTTTGCTTATTATTTGCTCAACACGATCTCAGAGTACCACGATTATCATATTAAATCTCAGTAAGAAATTTGAAAACTGTCCTATAATACTCGATGTTTTTGGAGATTGACAGTCTGACGACTAAGCAATATATACTTTTTTATGAGAACTTACGTTTAAATTGGAGCAAATGATTAAACACCAAGTGTATGGAAAACATATTTGCAAATCTCCATTTAAAAACAACAACATTCTGTTCTGCACTTTAATCTGAATCTTTATCACAAATTTATTGTCTCTATGTTGAGGTATTGTTTTCTGAGCTGGATGGATTGCCCATGGAGCTTTCATTGCTTTTCTGAGTAATATCAGCACAAACTCGAGGTAGAAGTGAGGTATTCGAACACTTGATGATAGCTTAGCTAAGAATATTAGGAATCCGACTGTTAGCGAGACTATCTCTGAAAAGGCTGGGCTTATTATTCATCCTCAATTAAGGAGATGGATCGATGTGTAGAACACTTTAAGGATCGGTTCAACTGGCCTTCAACCACACTTGGGATACCCACGGTTTCCAGTCAACCTGAGTGGCAAGTCGATTTAAGTCCTCTGACCCTTAGTGAAATTGAAAAGGCTATAGGAAATCTAAGGAGAAGGAGAGCGGCAGGTCCTGACAGGCTTACTTCTGAAACAGTTAAGGATGGTGGTCAAGTTTTTACAGTAATATTGAGTGAGATCTTAGGTAGAATCAGGGAAGTGAGTATAATCCCATTTGAGTGGTCTCAGTCTATAAAAATGAACAAAGGTCCTCTTGTGACATTTACAGAGGAACCAGTTTAACTAATATAGTATCTAAAATATTGGCTTCAATAATCTTTCGACGCCTAACTAGAGCTCGTGAAGAGCAGACTCGAGAAAACCAGGCTGGTTTCAGGTCTGGACGTGGACATATAGACCGCATCTTCACACCTCTTCAGGTCTTAGAACATGGACACAAGTTCAGACGTCCCACAATAGTTATCTTCCTGAACCTTAAGGCGGCAAGCTCTCTCCTCGAACTCCACTGGTCGAGTGAGAGCTTATGGCGAACTGTCATCAGAATTGATTACATCAAGTGGTATCTATCAGGGTTGTCCACTCTTCCCATTCTTGTCTAACTTTGTCGTAGATATGCCTTTTCAGGAGTAGACCTTCTACCAGGAGATTTATTGGTTGACTTAGAATATGCCGATGATATAGTTCTATTCAGTGAAGATACTGACAAAATGCAGAGTCTTCTGACTACCATAAGCAACAATTCAAGCATGTTCGGCATGCGGTTCTCCCCCGTCGAAATGCAAAATGTTGCTTCAAGATTGGGTTGCGTCGGCACCTGAACTAGTGATAGGGAGTGAAGTAGTTGAGTGTGTAGACCGCTTCACTTATCTGGGGAGTCTCATCAGTGCTGATGGCCTGGTGACAGACGAAATCTCAGCACGGATACAGAAAGCTCGATTGGCTTTTGCCAACCTGCGTCACTTATGGCGTAGGCGAGATATCCGTTTGCTAACCAAAGGACGAGTGTACTGTGCAGTAGTTCACTTAGTCCTACTTTATGGCTTTGAAACATTGTCGGTAAGAGTTGAGGATATTTGTAGGTTATTAGTATCCAATATAGATGTCTTCTAAGCATTGCTCATATATCCTGGGACAACCGGGTAAGCGATGCTGTCGTCAAGAAGCGAGTACTAGGTACGGATAGAAAATCAATAAATGAAATAGTGAAATTTCATCATTCGAAGTGGTTGGGACATGTGATACGTTTGCCTTGTCACCGACTGCCTCGACGCCCTGTTTTGTGGTGTAACGGTAGGTTGAAAGAAAGTTAAGACTGGCCAAACCAAAACATGTCACAAATCCATAAAG